GTTTTCTGTTTATTCAAGTGTCTCATATATTTGTTCCAATTCCTGCGTAAGTGTAACTCGCTATATCGTTTAATTTTTCTCTTCTTATAATTGTTCTTGAATAGGAGTAACATTTTCAGTCATATCATCCACGTGGTTCGAAGTTATTGGGAGGAAATATGGGATTTGTAAATTTACGGATATAAGGCATAAAAAGAAGACTTATCGTCCGTAATAAGTTCGGATCGGTATCATCTTAAAAGTCATCATCATTTCACATTAAATGATAACAAAAAAGAAAGTACATATCAGTTATCTTTCTCAGGAGTAAATTCAGTTCATTCATTGTAGATTTGTATGTTCACGAGCCCGATTGCGCAGTGGTTAGCACACTCTGTCTGCGATATGATTTAATTCGATTCCATGTAGATAGGGAAGGCCTGAGCCCCAGCAATAGGGACTTTAATACGCTGGAGATTATTGTTCAGTAGATTTTGAATATTATATAAAGACGTACTGCAGTTTGTTTTACAATTATAAATTAACGAAGCTCGATTTCCCAGGTCACTGCAGATAACAAGATTTTCTAATATTATCTCGGCTACCGTTACTTCTTGTTTCGGATTCGTATACGATCAGAACGCAACGGCTTTAGTTAGTTGAAACCGGAGCATATTTAGTGTAGTCTAGTCTAATATTTATTTAACAACATCTGCATTCAATTTCCATACAATTTCACCATTAACGGTATTTTCATCATTAAATGAATCAACATATCGAACCGGGTCGCTCGTTTTGAATTCAAATAATCGATTAAAACTTATCGCAGACAACAAAGTAGATATGTACATTTGTACAAATATTTTGATTATTTATTCAATGTACAATCGACCGAATCCAAAATGTATCCTGTCTATTTTCGTTTTAAGTCTTAATGTCATCTAAGTAACGCGTTTTTATTTTTCTTGCACTTTCAATTCAATTTGCTTGTCCCATTTATTTCAAGGCTACTCATTTTTGTTTATTTTCTAAATTACAATTGAGGTGCACACTGTGTCATGTCAATTATTTTATTACGTTAGTTATTTTTAATGTTAATGTATAAATTGTTTTCTCGGGAAGCTCGCTAGAAACTGTTCTACCGAACTCGCTAACCCAGTGGTTAGCGAGTTCGGTAGAAGAAGTCTGCGAATTTTCAACGGTCCGTCATTGATGGGTAACCAAGAATTTTTTTATGTCGATTTTTTTTCCATTTATTAGAATAAACAAACAGTGACAATTTGAAATATAGATAAAAGTTAAATAATATACTAAATTTTGAAAACGCCAGCGTTTACCCCATTCACATATTTAAATTAGTCGGTTTGGATGTAAATACACTTGAATTGATGACTGTTTTAAAATGTTGTACTATCACTTAATTATAATATAAACTCTTCGTTGGGTGCGCGATGACGGCGCCAACTAGCGGTTACAATTACGTCGGACTTTGAAATTTCAAATGGCTGGTGGTAGATTTCGATTTGATTTCGGTCGATTTATTATATCCGTGCTTCTTAATTGGTCCCGGCAGTCGTTAATATCCACCAATCCGCAATGGGGCAGCGTGGATTCATTAAGATTCGATTCCATATCTGCTCTTTAAAATCATATGCCGTATTCTATAAGATTCGATTCCATCCATAGAGAAGGTTTGTGCTCCAGTAGTGGGGACTGTCGAAGCTGTTAGATAATGAATAATTTCACAATAATAACTTCCTTTTTTTCGATCCAAATTCATTATCTTTTTTATGTTTAGCCATTTGTTTTAATTAGGTGCACCTAGTGTCTCTACTTCATCTATTTTCATGAGATTGTTTCACTACATACTTTGTTGCTTTACTCCGAGGGAAAATACTACCACCCTTCTCGAGTCCCATAGAACTTAGGGAAGAGGGTGACAAGACTTAAACTTTGAAGGTCAATAAATAAAAAAATAAATAATTAAATAATCATATTAATTTTTAAATAACGACTTATAGTTACTATTCTTATATCTGGTTTCAGTAGGAACTTCTAGTTACATATTTTAGAGAAAAAAATATGAATAAAAAAAGGTGTTTTGCCCCGTCTTGCTTCATGGCGCTGAAAATGAAAAAATTGGGGATGATAAAGATCCCAGAGAAAGTTGATTACTTAGGGCTGTCAGAATTCGCAGACGTGCATGGCTTCATCAACATCATTATCTATTCCTGCGCAGCTATTATGAGACCATCTTCCACATACTGAGCATGATATCCACCCTTCAATGGAAACAGAATATACTTCCGAACAATACACACATCACTTGTCCCCCCTTCTTCACTTTCATCTTCTGATGTTGACTCTTTGTCGTTTAGCTGTTTTCGTTTTTCGGCTATTTATCGTAAAACAAACAAGAACATCGTTTTTCTCATTGAGGGGCAAGAGTTACCCCATCTTGCATATAGAGCCATTTTCTAGCAATAAAAACAAAAAAAAAATACCAGTCAACAATCTTAAGGAAACACAAAGCCTACTTTATTATAGAATAGCTTAAGCGTCAATTACAGCCAATCCTCACCATCTAGCGTTATTTAACAAATCACAGTCACGTGTCAAACCCGAAGAAAATATGATAAGCAGTTTGCAGTAAAATATTTTTTTTTGCTGTTTTCGATATGTGAGCGCTTGCGAACCATTAATCGCCGGGTGACTGTTAAGTATCATGGTAGCGCATCGAACGATGAATAATCGAGTGTGATTGGTTACTTTGAACTGTGAATTTCGCTGGGTACCCCGTCTTACCTCATTCTCCCCTACCTATTTGAAAGAAAAATTATTATTGAAAGAAATATATTATTAATTATTTTTATTCTAAACCGTTTGTCATATCTTCATTGTTTCATATTTTAACAAAGACATTAAAGTATAACAGTATTCCAATCAAAAGGCTATGAATCTCATTTATATCATTGATACTGCGGTTACAAACCGCGTTAATCAAACATATTCATTACAATCACTGTTCTATTTATTGTGACTATAAATAGGTATTTTTAGTTTCTTGTCTTCATAGCACATCATCAAAAGTTAAAGTCTATTGGCAGCAAAATACCCTAGACATTAAGGGTATCTTGTTTTATAAAATGGTTACATAAATAGATATAAAAAAATAAATAATGGTGAAAATACATTTTTTTATTAATTTACTTTAAGAACGTAATCTGTTGTAGTTTTAATCAAAAATTTGTTGTTTTTTCGGGATTTCGCCGAATGAAGTATTTAAAAAAACATAGATTTCGAAATAAAACTAGATGTCGCTGCGGTACTTTCTTGATTAATCCATGATTCCCAGTATATTACCGTTCTCCATGATGACAACCCACCCTACGGGTTTTCTTTCACGTGTAAAAGTAAATTAATTTTTAAAACTCACTAAACAACATATATTCTATTTGTAGTTTTTCGTATTTGTATTAATATCTAAGTTTCGAAATTTGTAAATTTCAGTTTTTTAATATGTTAGTTAAAAGGAACGTAAATGAATATTTGTAGTCTATTCGTTTCCTGTAAAAATCAACTTTTGCTAGAGTCGGCATCTAGTAGATGTGCTTTTTTAGTGCTTTCTTTTTTTTAATATAATATAATATGTCAACTACCGTAGGTATGATGTAGGATCGACTCGTACTGAATTGGACCGATTTTTAAAATCGGGACAGTACAGTAGTTTCGGATATTATTCGATGCAAACAAACCAACATACAAACAATGAAATCTTTCCACTTTATAATATTAGTATAAAAGTATACATAAACGGTTAGGTACATGTGACACAGAGGGTTTCCAAACGAAATAAAAAAATACTTCTCTTATTGAAGGTATACAAATAACAATTTTAATAACTGTTTTCTATTTTTCTTATATTTCGCGTAAAAGGGACGAAAATTAGTGCCTTGGTCCAACATTCGCTTTTAATTGTTTTGCTTAGATGAGAGAGGGTTTAATTCTTGAAAGTTTCTTTCAGTATCATATGCAGTTAACGCTAAACTTTATATCGGCTACTTACACCCGGATAGTGAAAGTAATTACCCGTATAGTAAAGTGGTCTGAATTAGGTAGTTATTCATGTACTTACACTGATTTCATACAGCGAAAGAATAAAGTGGATATGCCTTAAATACCGAGATTAATTTTAAAGAGCAGATAAAATCCCGTGATTTTTAAATAAAAAGTTATTTACTTTTTTCACAATTTAAACTACTGCACGCACGACGTTGTCAAACTTACATCAATGAAAGAAAGAAATAAAGAAAGAAGAAATAAAGAAATCCTGGGAAGGTCCACATTAATTTCAACATTTTGATGCAAGTACATAAATAACTCTACCTCATTCCGACCTCTGGTAATTACATAAGCAAATATTATAGACAAATTAATAAAAAAAAAAAAATTAATTAAGAAGTGTTAACACTAAGAATAGTATTATACACTATTGATAATTCTTATTTTATTTAAATTCTGGTATCTGCATCATCTTAACGAGGAAGTATTTAAAAAAGAATTTGTTCCCGAAACCAAACTAAACGGCGTTACAGTACTTTCTTGACTTATCCATGACAACCTTCTGGTTTTCTGTCATGTGTAAAAGTAAATTAATTTTTAAAACTCAATAAACAACTCACATTCTAATTGTACTTTTTCGTATTTGTATTGATATCTAAGTTTCGAACTTTGCAAATTTCAGTTATTTAATATGTCAGTTAAAAGGAACGGAAATAAATGACTATCTTTGGTCCATTCGTGTCCTGCAAAAATTACCTATTGCTAGAGACGCCATCTAGTGAGGTGCTTTTTAGCGCTTACTTTTTTAAATGCTTCTTAATGAAGAAGTATTAGTAGTAAATCGAAATATATATTTTTATATCGATTTTTCATTTACCGATGGGCATGGTCATGTCTATTTTTGACATATTTATTTGACAATGACATCTGCTTGTGTCAAACTGTCAAATAATGACGTCAGTTTCAAAGTGGACTTTATTGAAGTTGTTTGTCTTTTTGATGACTGTATACAAGGAAAATCTTTAAAAAAATGTATATTTATGATTTACCATATGAAATTAACCGTGAGTTATGTAGAATATTGGATAATGGTGACGACTGGAAGGAATTAGCCGATAGAATGGGATATAAAGCATTCGAAATTATCGTAAGTATCATTGATGCGTTCAAAATAATTTTGGGCTTTCACATAAAATAAATTATTAGATGGAATTTCTAAACCTCAGATCCTATTTAGTTCATTGTGTTATTATCAAAATAACATTTTTATTTAAACTTTATATAAGTTAAGTTTATATAAGTTAATAAAGATCGGCATACGCAATAGGTTTTTCCGGCAACTAAACTTTCAATTTCAACAGTACAAGAAAACCTGTTTTGTATATTTTCGCATGAATGCAAATAAAATACCACGTAAACTTACATTTTCCGTATTAACGACGTCAGAGAGCTGTGATATGCCAGGAGAGAGTTTGGTTGTATTTATTTTTATGATCCCTCTGAAAATAACACTTATGAAACATTTGGTTGTGTCAGTATTTCATCCTAAACAGTATTCTGGGAATTACAAGCTTTCATTTATATTGTCTTCAACAATTCATTTATCTTACAATTATCTTCAGTGATGCTACCATGGTTATGACCGATGCCTTAAAACAATAAATTAGCATGAAACCATTTATTATTTATGCCATTAGAAATTAACTATTTTTGTTGACCACTCATACATTCATGGTCATAAAAGTAATATTTTTGTTGATTTCAATCCTTGTTACTAAAGGGACCACTAGTGACAGTCTGAAAAAAATTGTTTGTTTGTATCTTCAATGTTTGTCTGTGTAATCTGTGGTTTTTTGTATTTAATATGAAATATAGATTATGCTTTAATAAAAAAATAGTACAAAATATAGCCTGTAACTTATCTATTGCTTGATAAGCAGTGCCGTAACTACAGGGTGGCAAGTTGTCAAAATGCCATGGGCCTCCTGCTGGAAGGGGCCTCCAGTCATAAGAGAATCCTTACTCCTTACATTTATTATTATTTTTTACAATTAGTATAAAAATATAGAATATCTGATGAATTTGCCACAGGCCTCCAATGGTATAGTTACCCACTGTTGATAGGTCTTTAGGTCTTTGTGATATCTATGAGTCTCATACTTAGTATGATGTTTCTAAGGAATGACAGTTCATGATTTGAATGCTCAAGTGGTTAATACAAATTTATGTAGATTGGATGTTCACAATCTTTGAATTTGAATATACCACTAACTTTAAACTTAAGATCTACCTACTCTGTTAAATTGCTGTTAATTTAATTATTATAATAATACAGCAATTTGTTTATAGTTATGACTATACAACAACACACTATAATTTTACAGGAAATCGAACAGATGGCTCGTAGAAATTCTGTGTCTCCAACAAACCAATTGCTCACAACATGGGGTCAGCAAAATCATAGAGTCGGGGAACTATTTATATCGTTGTATCGCATGGAACACATACCGGCCCTAACATGTTTAGTGCCTATTGTGGAAAGTAAATTTCATGCATTGTATAAAAAGCTCTGTCCAAACGGAATCAAGGAAAAAAACACTTCTGTTATTGAAGGTAAAAATAAATATTATTCTACTATTGATATAGATAACTAAGGTGTAAATCCACATTATTGCAAACTAGCATTTGGACAAAGGTGACTTTGCTTTGATCTAGAAACAGTATATTCCAGTTAAGAACTCAAGCACTACTATGTCCAGATTTATTTATCATTATAATAACAAATAAAACATTTAAATTGGTTGAATTTGAAATTGAGTCTAACTAGATTTACTTTTAAATTGTGTTGTATGGACTAGTTCTTGCCTCAACTTAAAAGTTGGCTGCTTGCCAATCATGACTCATGGTTTCCTTTAAGTGGGAGTTGTAAACAAATTACTAATTTTAAATTCATTGTGAGCACATTAATAAAAATTAAAAGATGAAATATTGCAGTGTGGTCAGATTAATAATTTGACTTTAACTTTTATCTACTTCTTACAGATAAAGCTAATAAAAAGAAACGAATACACTCTGAGGAATCATCGATACCACTACCTGTTAAACTTATAGAACAGGTGAGATTACTAATATAAGGAAAATCTGAACAACATGTACACATGTAATACTTTAGTGGAAATAATGTTTTGTGAATATAATTAGTTCTTAAGCCAAGAAAAAATATAGCTCCTTTTGGATTATATTGTTCAAGTCCCAAAATGTCAAACTGTTTCAATATGTCCAATTGCTGAAACATAGAACATTGACAACCTTGCTTTATATTGTACGTGACACTGTAGGTCATTGACCTCACAATAGGTTTATTATAGGTAATCTTAGCATTCAATACAAGCACAAACGAAAAACTTGCTAAAAATGCACTTAAAATCCAAGAATATCTACTTCCAAGAATATTAAATTTAATTAATTAATGTTTTTCCTTATACAGGGTGTTCCTCTGCCGACTTCGAGCAAAGGATTTAATGGTACACCCACAGATGATGAGTCAACTGACTTGGTAAGTATTAATCACGCAAATCGCATTTCAATGCGTGCAAGCCACAATACAATACAGGTGTAGACAGTAAACGAAAAAACATATTTTTTTCTGATAGTGTTTAAAATACTATTACCGATAATCACACTTTATGCTTATTATATTTTTAATATTGCTTAAACTAATTGTGAAAGAACAAATATTTTATACTCGTTGTCACGTGACTCTTAATCATATCAGAACTTGGATAATTCGACCTTATGATACACAGAACGATATTAGTTTCAGAGGACCGTGACATCACTTTCAATATCGTTTGAAAATTTTGAAAATTTAATTTTTTAAGATTTTAACTTATTATATGAATTTTACTTTTCTTTATTTAAAATAAATTGTTGTCTACATCCTTGTTAACTTCTAAATCACTTAACATAATGCGACAATAAGGAGTATATTGAAAAAAAAATTGTCTCACACAGATGAGAAATACATGGTCATAGAGCTTTAGGGCGAAATATTGGCACTCTTAGAAATTTCTATCTGACACAAATACCCTACTACATTTGTTTCAGTCGACCTCATCTCAAGAAAGTAAAGACAATGACATCAGAGCAGAGATCATGAGGAACGTAGCGGCTATACCAATGCTGCCCTACGACGAACTCAAGGAAGCTACAAATAATTGGAGTACCAATAACATGTTAGGACAGGGAGGTTTCGCTCAAGTGTTTAAAGGTAAACAATTCTGTGCCATAAACGCTTATATAAATCACTAGTGTTTTCCCGTGACATTGTCCGCGAAAATTATAGCCAATGTTACCCGCGTATGATGAAGCTTGGTTGCGTGCTTGCTTGGTTGAAAGAAATTTCATGATTCGATCAGTGTTTCCGAAGAATACAAATAAAATGGTGGGTATTAACGACAGCAAATGCAGCCGGAAATAACGGTTCAATGTGCTTATGAAGCAGGGAGAAGCTCGAGATAATAATTTTTTGGCCAACCATCCTGTGACCGACCCTTGTGAAAGTTGCTTTACAACAACGATCGCGGGACGCGGCGCTTTTCGACTACGCCACCGCGTTACTCATTAATATAGATATCAACGAATAAATGTATACTTTTAAACCATTTTAACGTGATTCTAAAACAAGTTAAATTATTTTTCCCGGCTACACCAGGCCCACCGATTAGCACTGGCTAGTATGGCTGGATTTGGCCTTTATAACTCCCTATGCCATGCCAACCCATTTGCCCTGAAAGTGAGCATATCAATAGGCTTTCCATTTAATAAAACCGACTTTTGGACTAATATAAGATAATGGTAGTATAAGTATTTTTTATGTTATGCTGTTTTTGTGGATTATTTGACCTTAACATTCTAAATTAAAAAATAGTTTGCCTTTTTGACCCCCATTAGAAATAAAATAACAAAACATATTTTATAACAATTCATTACAGCATAACGTCTGATAAAGCGGACGGTAGAAAATTGTATATAACGTGGGCAATTGTTTTTAATTTTAGAAGAATAGTGCCATCTATTGACAGTCCAAAATAATGTTTAAAAATATTCCAGGTGAATGGAAACAGTTAACAGTAGCAGTGAAGCGGTTGCGTGCAGTAGACGCCCGCGACAGAGAACTAATACGAGAATTATGTCTGAATCAATACAGGCACGACAACATTGTACCTCTCTATGGATATAGCTATGGTGGTGAGTTGTTTGTTTTAAGGTTTTTTGTTTACAACTTATTATACTTGTACAAATTAACATAACACTTATAACTCTATTTTATTTCTCTTGTTATTTTTGGTTTATTTACTAAATGCTAATATGTCCCAAAGAAACGCATTTTGCGATAATTTATGATGCAACGGAGGAAGAACTGTTGCCTCTGATGCACGGATAATAATTTTAACAAAATTTTAAGAATGATTTCCGAATTCTCGTTCTAGGACAAATATGACAGAATCTCGGGTGTCATGTTAATTTGTATAAGTATTAAATAAAGATATTTAAACTCTGAAGTTTTAGCGCAGATAAAATGTGAGTCTCAAATTGGGACAGGCGAATAAACTTAGCCATACTGCCAAATCTTGAGTTCAAATGACTGGGCGCCGCCGGTATAATGTTAAAAAATATGTAATTATTTCGATATTTACATGTTGTTGTTATTCCATTAAAAGTAAAGAAATCTAGCCCATACAGACTTATGTAAGTTTTAGTAAAAAACTTTGGTGGTTGATATTTACATAATTTGGAGTGTTTGGGACCAGTTAAAAGATGCAGGAGAACACAGATTATATTATCTGTGTTTTCCTACTACATACATACATGTTTACTACTGCATACTACATATATATGTATGTAGTCACATGTTTACGTTTTATTATTGCAGATAAATTATACATTTTGTCATTAAAAAAAATTTCGTGAATGAAAAGCAAATCTTCAACCATACATTTTTCGATATTTGTTTAATGCCGGATTTACTTGTTTTTTAGGTGCTGAAGTGTGCTTAGTGTATCAGTTAATGTGCGGTGGAACATTGGACTACAGACTACGTAGAAAGGCAAACTTAGCACCTCTCACTTGGTCCCAGCGACACAGAATCGCCCATGGTGTAGCCAGGTAAGAAAAATTTTATGCTGATTCAAATGATTCGTTCATTATTTTGAAGATTCGGATCCTTTGCAGGTTTCGTGGTAACTAAATTCAAATGTTTGGTAGTTTCAAAATCATTTAAAACATACTAACGTCTACATACATTGAAAAATGTTTTCATTATATGAATAGTGTGTATGGAAATAAAAATTATTACTATTTCAGCGGATAGTTAGAAGGGGCTATTACGAAGCCCAAATAGATCGTCCATTTCGGTGGACTATCTTTAAAATAACACTGTAGGCATATATACCAATGTGAACTTATTCCATTTTATCACTTTTCATACGAAAATATAACGAGATGAGCGTGATGTCGTCGGATGTCTTTACTCCTCGGTGATCGGAAACAGAATGTCACCCAAAATGGCGGCAACTCGCTTTTTAACGAACAAATGTCAAGTCAAAAATTAAAAGTATCAATGTTCAAGCTTCTCTATAATCGAGTAATTAGTAATTAAAAATAGAAACTAAATCAAACGATCTTCCTAACGATGATGGAGATATTTTACGACAACCACATAAGTAGACGATGTAATAAAAAAATGAGTGTGCTTTGGGCTAATTACCTATTTTCGAGATCTATCGCCATCCAAGGTATAGAACACAATAAAAGTAATATTTGCGTCTAATTAACGATATAGTTCTTTCAATATTTTCAAGAAAACGTCACGATTGCAATTGTCAAATAGTTATAAGGTGAAGTTTGTGAATATTTTTAAAATTACATTAAAAGGGATTGCGGTAGATTTTAGATTTAGACAATTAGGTCCCTGGTCTATCCTATAACTTCATAAAAGTGTTATTGAACTTTTGCTCCCGACTTCAAATGAAGGTTCCTAAATTTGTAAAACGTATTGGAACATACAAAAAGTATTTAGTGTAGTTAAAAACTGTTTGAAAAAATCATCATGGATCGCTGATCAGTTATGCTCTAGAAACTAGCATTTGATTTGGGTTTAATTAAATGAATTGAATTATTAATCTTGTACTAAAATCATATTTTTTTAGTGTTGTGGTTAGTTTTATTTATTTTAAATCTTTACAGAGGCCTTCAATTTCTTCATACGATGTCTGGAACGCCTCTCATCCATGGAGATATAAAGCCTGCCAATATACTGTTGGACCAATGTCTTATACCCAAGATTGGTGACTTTGGTCTAGCGAGGAAGGGACCTTATGGCGATAATAGAACCCACGTCAAAGTGTCAAGGTATGTTAATATTATACTTCATAATTAACTATTTGACTGATTTATTTCTCTTGAAAATGCACAAATAATTAAAAGAAAAAACATTTTTAGTCAATAATTTCAATTGTCCAGCGTAAACAATCAGTCATATGACATTTGGATCCGTGACGTCTCATTTCAATAAACTTGAGCACTGCTTTCACTCAGAACAACGATATTGATGTTTAGTTTATTGAAATATGACGTCACATAACGTTCTGTCATGGCTGCCCGCGTTACGTTTCTTGTAATTTATAGACTAAATCACAAATCAATTCTGAAATAAAAAATACTTACAAAATATTCTAAAACAAAATAGACTACATAGTTATTATTTACAATTTCCAACATATTTCGTTATTTATTGTTATAACAGCAAGTAGCCAATTTATAAAATTAAAATTTCTTCTGAAATTTCTGTAATGATTACAATTTTCTATATAACTCGAAAAACAAACAGTGAACCTTTATGACAGCCAAAACTGTTCAAGACGCTTTCTTAAGTCGCTTTATTTTATACTAGTTTTCCGCCAGCGGCTTCGCTCGCGTAGTCTTTAAGGAACTATTCGATATCTATTCATATCATGAAATGGATAAACAATGACAAATTGAATAGAAAACAAATGGTTACTGTGGTCACGTTTTAATTCCCCATACTAACTTCCACTCTCATTTTCATTCCTTTGCTTGCTGTTTTTCAGGATAAAATATAACCTATGTTTTCCGCATATGATGTTGCTTCCCTTAGGTGAAAGAATTTTCAATTATCGGTCCAGTAGTTTTAGAAGCCTATTCGATGCAAACAAACAATCAAACCTTTCGTCTTTATAATACTAGTATAATAACAAAAATTGAAGGTTCATTATTATATTTGATAAAAATTCACAATGCTATACTGAAAAATATACTTAATGAAAAATCCACTTTGTCCCTGGCACTCTGTGTGTGATCGAAGTTTCATTATTTATTTCTTGTAGGGTCCACGGTACCCGTCCATATTTGCCAGACGAGTACATCCGCTCTGGCTGTCTCTCTCCCGCGGTGGACGTGTTCAGCTACGGCGTGGTGATGCTGGAGATAGCTACTTGCCTCAAACCCATAGACAATACAAGGCCTATACAAAGACTCACCGATTTCATAAGGATCGAAGCTGATAGAGGCACTGATACAGGTAAGGTTTTGTTTGAATATAAACCATAATAAAATCAAATATTAACAATAGTTATTTTTGCTACATAAGACATGTTGTTATATGGATATTCTTTCCAATCCTGATCAATATATATATTATTATTTAGCTTGGGAATAAAGTATATATTGTCCATTTTCTGCGATAATTAAATAAACTCCAACTGATGCGCTTTCTTTTGTTAACAGTCCTTGATAATTTTAAAACACTGAATTACGAAGTCTTATCCAAGTTAGATTGCACAAAAACCAAACGAAGACGGAGTGTCCATTTGAATATAGCGTAAAAAAAAGATATGAAATTTATGAATGGCTCGCGATTTTTTATCGAATCAGATTTTTTCAAATTATTAACATTTTCTTTCCCACAGCGATATACGAAGATCATTCACTTCTTGGAACTCCGAATTCCAACCCTCAAGTGTGCAGGGACTTCATCAACATCGGTATACATTGCACAAAGTATGCAAGACACGAAAGGCCAAATATGCTAGAAGTGTACAAAAAATTGAACTCTATGGTCGTACCGGGGAAACCATCTGTGCCATAAATTAGGTATGTCATCTTTTGTCTAAATATAGGATAAGAAATTATGGTCTCTAAATAGGTTTCGTTTTTTTATTATTATTAGACATATAGTCCACATGTCTATACAGCCTTCTTTTTAATACTTTTTTCGGTATATATTAGAAAGGAAATGTTTTTGTAAATGTTTATGGCAGAATTAAAAAAAATGTAGCTATTATTTGTTAAATATAATGAAATATTGAAATGTTTATTTAATTTTAATTGATTTCATTAAGTAAGTATAGATAATAACTTTTTAAATGTTTTGACCTTCGTTAATGTATGGAATCCGAGAGTTATATTTTTGTAATATTATTTACAGAATAGTAATATTTTTATACATTAGAAGTTAAGTTACAAGTAATATGTATTGTGCTTCCAATAGGATTATTATTGAAAATTAGGTTTAAATACGCATCGAATGAATCAAGATGGATGGACTAGTTAAAAATGTAAACCCTCAGTCATATTATAATAAAGGTGTAAATAATTATATGAGAGCATACCGTCATAAAAGCAATTCTATACACGATTTTTTCCTGTATATGCATTGAATAAGGTTGCTAATTGAATAACTACAAACCATACTAAAACTTTGAAACAAGAAATTGTTGTTTTTAAATATATCTATTTAAATATATCACAAAACTATTTTAAGTATATAGGTATGTAACTGTTGAGTGAAAAAAAAAATATAAATATACTAATAGTTTGTATTTGTCTAATGTCTTCCGTGTAATGTTATAATCATGTTGGTGCCTTATAAGAATAAATGATTTATACTCAATTTAATAAATGTTTATATACAAAATAAATTAAAAATATTTTCATTTATTTTAAAAATCCCACTTCCTTAAAAATTACTTCAACATTTGATACACGTTTCTCTTAACACCAACGTTAATAGAAACTTGTATCAAAAGTAAGGAATTTTTCAAAAACAAAAACTTTTAATTCTACTAGTAAATAAATAATAATAAAGGTGATGATTGATGCAAATCATGTATTTAAAAGGTAATATATACTGGATATTTAAACTTATTATGTAACTATTTATATACCTAAATTCAATTGACCACTAGTCTGTTTTGGCAAAAGTATTAAGCTTTCATATGATATTAAATCGCTATCAGATTTTTCTCCAAAAAGTGTTATTATTTATTAATAGTAAATAAAAGAAAAGCATATTTATATTTAAATTTTTACATTGTCCTGGTAAAGCAATCTGTCACGTGACATTTCGAACTGTGACGTCACATTTCAATATATAAGAGTACGGCTACACTCGTTTATTGAAATGTGACGTCACTGACGCTCCGTCATGACGGCCCACGTTTCGTTGCTTGTAATCCACAAATTATAAATAGCAAGTGGATTTTGTAATAAATAAAATAAGCTTATAATTTATTTTAGAACAATAATACCAAATAGTGATTGTTTACATAAAATTCACCATTTCCAACATTTCAAAATTCATTGATAACTATCAAGTAGTCAATTGATTTCAAAATGAGATATCTTCTAAAGTAGGTCTGTATTCAGGTTTCAGACTCCTTGTAGCGACTAAATTCTTATACCAAAACGCAGACGCCCTTGGTCTCCTGGTCCGTTTTTCGTCATTGTAATCTACTTCGAATATACCAAATTTTGCACTGAAAGCAGAAATAAAAAACGGTTTTATTATTTACATATCTGGTTGTTTTGCTAATATATATTTTTATATTAAAAATTACCTAAAAGTATTAACGACTACGCTACAACTATTTGACATGTGAGAGCGATTGCGATCACAATGTTTTTAAGGAATTGGTATAGATTTTGAAATTAAACAATTCGCCTACGACCTTCTAATAACGAAGGCTAGATAGTTGATAGGAATCCGTTAAAATTTAAATAAGTATGGCGTTCACGCGCATTTTTAAGGAGAAATGTCTGTCTACTTAATCACATTATTAAAAATACATTAATTTACCTATAAAATATAAAATACTAAAAAAGCTCTACCTCGTGCATTTAGGGTTGCCAACATTCAGCGAAATACGGTATCTTATAAAAATAGGCTATAAAAATATAGTAATCTTACAAAATCAAACACCATAGATTATATTTGATCAATTTTGCTTTCACAATGCTATACTTAATGAAAAACTTAGTTTTATTTTTTTGAAAAATTTAATAATGTAAAAGATCGACTATATGTTATTCTGTAAAACAACAGCCTCTTGCTCGATATCTAGCACAGCGCTATGACAGCATTTAATAATAAATTTAAATACTTTAATATTTCCATAACGTTTTTTCTGTCTTATGTACTAATGATACTTACCTTAATCCACTATCCCATTCAAAATTGTCCATAATACTCCATAGAGTGTAACATACGACGTTACATTTGTCGTACTCTATAGCGTCCAGTATCGAATTAAAATATTTGACTAGGTATGATATTCTCGCCTCATCTTGTAATCCGCTGAGAGTTCCAAAACCATTTTCAGTAATCATTATTGGGGGATTGTTACAATTGTCTTTCACCCATTTCAAAGCTTTCCTAATACCATGAGGAATTTCCTGATGGAACAAAAATATGTGTAATTATATTTGACTCTTATTTTATATTTACTTAAATTTGTTTCTATTTTAATTGTGCACCAAAGTATTCGTCAATCAAAACGTAATTTAAATACTTTCATAGCATTAATATCTCACTAATAATTTTAAGTCTTATTGCTATAATAAAAATACTTCTACTGCTGTACCTATATTCACGCCACGCGAGATTACCAATCCTCCTACACTTATAAATACTTACAGTGCAATGTGGTAAAATGGCGGGTGTATAGTCTAGTAGCGACCACTCGGCTCCGAGGTCGTCATCGTACGAAGGCACAGGGTATATTCCTTCCTTGTATGTCTTACGTGTGTAAAACTTGGTTGAGTAATGATTAAAACCATAAAAATCACTGGTCCCTAAAACAGTTATTCCGAGAAAATTCTAGATATTTTTTAAAAATTAAATTTGACTTGTAAAGTTCCTACTTAATCGTCATTTTTTGCCCTTTTCACAATAATTTATTTGGGATCGGCGGAATATCTAGTCTTCCATATCTCGTTTTCAACCGATATTTCAACATTCATTTCTTTCTGACACCTTTAGTCTTCTTACGGCGACCCAGCAAGAAGCCCGCCTGGTCCATCCCCACAGGCTATAAGGCCCTTAACGTGTGTAAGCAAAAACTTGGTCCCTCTACTTATTTTGATACAGGGCATCCAAGGCAAGGTAAGCTATGCCTCTGCTCCATATTCTAGCATTGCATTTTAGCCACATGTAATCTACTTTCATCCTTCAGCCTTGCCGCTGAGACGACAGATCTAATTGTGGCCTTATAAATTTCCGTCTCAATTTCAGTGGAAATCAGGGCAGCTTATTAAAATTTACTTGACTTACCCTTAACAAATTCAGTTTCTTCTTTCGTGAATTCTGGTAATCTACTTTCAGGGTATCCCTGCTGCTTGCTTTTCTCTCCCACCAATTTTATCACCCTTTCAGGGAATCCACCTTTCTCACTGAATATTGGATGACTATACATGCCGACCTCAAAATCCATAGCGTCTATACCAGCCTGAACATCGTCTGGATCATCTGTCATACCTTCGCGATAGTCCGTAGCTATAGTTATGCCAATTTTACCTGAAACATTATTAAAATAAGGGTGTTTTTCAACAGAAAGAGCGAAATCATATAAAGGGTAATCATTAATAATTAGTGCACACATTGTGTTTTTCACTGTAAATCATATTCACGTTCTTTTTAACCTACTGCAAAGAAAGGGTACCTATAGAACCGCCGAATGGTTTTAGATAATTGAGGTATCGCTAGATGTGACTTAGTACACCGAGTGTTCTTAGATAGATAACGTTAAAAAACCAATATAGCAGCCGTGTGACGCCATTATATTTAATGATTATTTTATTTTTCTTTTGAAATTCTACAATAAGGGTATAAAATTAATACAAGGATTCAAGAAATTATAGTCATAAAGTTAAAAATGAGGACTTTTTTTTCACTTTCTGAACCAACCTGCTAATTTGTCTAAATTATAATAATAAAAAACAAAAACGACCTCGCCTGTTTGAAAAACAACTAACTGAATTATTCAACTTGCCAAGAAATTGACAACTCAAATCAGTCTCTCCTTGTCCTTAGGAACTTCTGACTTCTGTTATGTATGATGTTGCATATTTTTTATCTTTTTCCAGCCTATTCAATTACTTGTTTTTCACGCAAGCGGGTTTTTTTGTTTATTTTCATTATATATATTTTCTCTCATTTAGAACATAGGAGATAAAAGAGAAAAAAGATGTTTATAAAAACGTTTCTACACTATATTTAGATACAATTTGTTTACTACTATTTTATTATTACCATTTTGTTTGCTCCTGTACTCTTTGTCGTACAAATGCCAAGCTCTAGCGTGTGCCATCAACATATTCTTCGTACTCAAGTACTCCCCTATACCACGGGCGTTTATACCTGGAGCCATTCTCGTTGCGCCATAACCGTAAACACCGATTTGCTTCGGCTCATTCAAAGTGATCCACGTCTTCACTCTATCCCCATACAAGTCATACAAAACACGTGCGTAATCCTCAAACCAGTCCGCGATCAAAGGATTCGTCCAACCACCTAAATCTTGTAGACTTTGAGGCAAATCCCAATGGTACATTGTGACCACCGGTTCGATTCCGTTTGCTAAAAGCTCGTCAATCAAATTATTGTAATATGTAGATCCGTCCTTGCTTATTTTATTCGCGAATCCATTTGGCAGAATTCTCGGCCATGATATTGAGAAACGGTAAAACATTATTCCTAGAAAGTTAAGCATAGCAATATCTCTTTGATAGTATTCATAGGATTTACACGCGTCTTTGCCGGTCGTGTTATCTTTAATTGTGCCAGGTATATCACTATATGTATCCCAGATGCTTGGTGATTTATCTGAAAATGTTTTCAAATTTAGCATCCCATGACTGCACTAAAAAGGATGATTAATTGAGTATTTGTCAGTTAGTGATTTTTAACTAGTATCCTATTTCGACCTATGGATATCAGAACGGATACCGTGTGTGTGTGTGTGTGTCGCCGCACTCCGCATGCGGGCACTATCGACCAATGTAAATGAACTTGCACTTGTCAATAAACCAATAATAAACGGGAGCATCGACTCTACCTTCCCTTTTTAATTTTAATCACAGCTAGAAATAGAGAAAAGTTTACCTGATACATTCCAAGCACCTTCGATCTGGTATGCGGCTGAAGCGACACCCAACTGCATACCTTCGGGGAGTACCCTCATCATCTTGTGGGTTATATACAACCTATGTTGTGAATGATCCACTGAAATTTGAATTAAGTATTCTATCTATTATATACTATACAACTTACTTATGCACGTATATTTGTATGTGTGTAAAATTCTACGGTTTTGCGTTTTACAGTTTTTCTTATCATAACCTGATTAAATTAGCGAGTCACCAAAAGAGTAGGTTTGCGTAAAGGGACTATTTAATTTGGCCGGTGTATCGTTTAAATATTTTTGTTGTTGTACGTTTTCCTTTGAGGAAAAAATTAAAATACATAATAGCAAAATAGAATGTGTGTGCCCGGGTCAGTTTTAACTGAAAAAAAAATATCACTCGTTCTTTAAAAACCATATTTCCTGAAGTTTACAAATTAACAAAACTAATAGTTAAGTAGATAGCAGAGAGTATTGCGTTAATCAGACGTTAATTTTCTTGCTTAAAAAGAACTTTTAAACAATCATCTGAAGAAGACAGTTATTTCCCCGGGCATTTTCCCATTTATAGCATAGTATTCCGTCTCGCATAACCAGGCTGTTCCATTGTGCCCACTAACTCTTTGTAAATGGGCTCATTGCAGCCACCTCACTTCATCTGGGTCTCGGTGCCCCAACCTTGAATTCCTATGCCTTCAACAGGGAATCCTTCCATTTCTATCATTGACCTTACGCGTACTGGTCCCTTCACTTCTTGCATAGTGTTGGGCTTGCAGCTTCTCCATAGTGCGTCGTCGTCGCTTTAAAATGGTATTGTTAACTATCCTATCCATCTTCGCTGCATCTTAACTCCTGCTTCTCGTTACTCTAGAGCAGTTCATCTCTTATATACAATATCTGCGATCGTCCTTGTGAACTGCTTCTACCTTCAGAGTATAGGTTCCTAAGCATCTTGATCCAGTCTAACGGCCCTCTCTTCCAAGTCACAAATTCCGTTAATGAAGGCTTATAGCAGTTGTTTTCACCCAGAGCAGAATTACACTGGTATGCTTTCCGGATGAGTTTTTCAATCTCAAGAGCCGACTGCTGTAAGTTCTCACAGCTCCGTTGTACTCGGTCCTTTATTTGAGCCCGGAACACATTCTAAGTGCGCGCCACCATGTCGCGCCTCCAATGCTACTAGGTGACATCATTACCTAGTGCTTCAAGAATGGTTAAGGCTTGATCGTGGAAGTCCAATGCCAGTGCAGTCTGTGCTTGCTCCTTATTTCAGCCATTTCCCTCAATGACCGTGCGAAACTGGATTTTATAGGCAGACCATGGTGTCATTCCGTTAAATTACCACTGCATACTCACAGTACATCCTGCTTTAAGATTGTCCAAAGTTTTTGATACATCCGCAATCGCACTCTCGGCTGTGGTTATCCGGTCCTCATACTGGTGTACTTCTTCCTTTTTTTTCCTTCAATTGTACACCAAGTTTTTCTCACAGATCTTCCTTTGATTGACGCAGCTGGTTTTTCTGCTCGTCCTTGTCGCGTCCCCACTGTTCTTTCTGTCCTTCTTTGTCAAGTCCAGGCGACGAGCCTGTTCTTCTTGGCGGCGAGCCTGTTTCTGCATCAGTATAAAGCAGTCGGAGTCATCGAGGTCGCAGTAGCCGTGGTCGTCACATTAGCTTGTTGTTGGCGTTGGCTCCTACTATGAATGCCCTGTACGTCATCACGTGGTGTAATAGGCATTTTGTTTTTATCCCACTTCTGACACCAAATTGTTACGTGCTAGAGTTCAGCATAAAAATCTAACGCTAATTAAATTCACAATCCGACTTTTTAACCAACAAATTACAAAAATAATCAGTTACAAAACTCGCACTGAAACTCCACTATTCACGTCACTACGGTCACTGCCCAACATTATTAGATTGGCCAGATCGTTCAGTATCGCTTCTTGATTCATTTTCAAAATAGAAGTTCAAATAATTACAGATCATTCTTCCCAGTACTTCCAATTGAAAGATCTCTGTTGCAAAATGATTTTCACAATATTCATATTAAATAAAAGTAAGATTTGACGTCTTTTGTTTTATTTATTTACGAAGTAACATAATAAAAATATACGAAACATAAAATACTTAGCATTCGTTCGACGAATGTGAGAGCGAAGTACCTACTTTGGACGCACGCATAAGCTTTTGGGGATTTCTCGTAAATCGTGTGACACTTTAAATATTGTCATACGAAAAACTTTCCGAAGTGAAAAAATAAATTACCCACAAAGAATGTTCTGAGTTCAATATTATTATTATAGAGTAAGAAAACTGTATAAAAATCTGTATCCAGTGCTAATCTGTAGAAATGGGCGATACAAATCGTATATTAGATATTAAAACGTATATTGTATCAGTATCTAAATATTTGTATAAATAAATACAGAGAAATCTGTAGATATGGCAACACTGGCTAGGACATTCCAAGTTGACCCTGACCCTACCGGTGAATTCAAGGCATTTCTAGAACAGCTCCCGTCCCGGTCTTCCACAGTGACCGTCCCTTCCGTCGCCGACCCGATGTACACGTAGATTCGACAGTGCGATTCATTGGCGCATAACGCCATCTAGTAATGTGTAGACGAACCGTGCCGCTACACTTCGTATTCGTAAGGATTTCAATTCATTATGCATTATCCGTAAATGCCTTTGTAGCGTTCGCACCGATAAAAACATGAATCGTGTGACGATATGCTCATTGGGTAGACTGCAGTCTCGATAGAACGTTCTAGGTGAAGGTTCTGGAACCTGGAATATTAGCAACAACAATACCTATAATGCACACACGCTCCTTATGTTGCAGCTGCATTGATTTTCACCCTTTTTGAAGTAACGAGCCAGCCAGTTTACGCTTTATGATTGCGAAGCGATAAATCACACTTGACGGTAAATTGAAGCTTTGGAAATGTCCAATCGATCAGATCCTTTGAAAAGAAAAGTGTACTACGCGATAAGTGTCTTCTTACGCGCATACCCTAAAGTTATTTTTCATTAATGACATGACAGTTGTTTATTAACTGCTTTGTTCAGGCCCGTCTTAAGCACCCAGATGCAAGCAGCGCTCCCCCCCCCCTTATTACAGTGAATTTCCCGAAGATCATCCGTACCCCCTGCACCATGGGTAAAGATGGGCTTATGTTGTTACCCCACCCGGAGTAAAACCTTCCATAATATTCTATTTAATAGAAAATTAGACAATCATGATCACGATACAGCCTTCGCTACTTAATTGTAAATTTATATTAAAGCATGGAGCAGACAAACAAACTGATCTATTTAGCATAAAAATGTGACTCGATGATATGCTTTCATAGAATACTCGGGCACTTGGGTCACATTCCGCGTAAGTAGATTTTAGCAGTTATAGGTATTATGGGAATCTGAAACAATGACAGTACCATAACACGCAGACGCGCGACAATATTAGTAAGTTCATTTTCTGAGGTATTTTATAGATGCTGATCATTTGTAAATTGAAAAAAATTCTGCGACACATAAAAAATTTACGAGTTATGCATTAAAAAAACTATTAGAGACCAATTCACTTTATATACCTAGCTAATACTGTTATATGTAGCATAAATACCTGCTCTTATTTCCTATTGGATTTTTAAACTTGTTTCCTCAACACAAAATGTTATTCAGAATGCAACCGTTATCGAAGAAAATTCATTACGATATAAAGGAAAATTAATACGTAGTCAAACAGGATTTATACCACTATGAATGTATAATCTAACAATAATTAAGATAAGATTAATATAGGGTATATTATAGAAAACTAAATAATGCCAGCAAAGTTATTGTGGATCAACATAAGATTATTTACATATATCTTATTTTTGTTAGTTACGAGAGATGTAAATTAGCGTAACGTGACGTAACGTCCCTCAGAATAACCCTCTATTGAAGCGGAATTGTGTGGTGCTCAATTTCATCTACAGTGAGCTCTAAGCACCACCCCACGGAAGGTTTTCTAAAAAAATGAGCGAAAATACAGTGGATATATACAAATTCCACTAATTAATTAAAGCACCACCCACTTTATTTGACTATTTGCGTAAATTATTTAAGGTACTCGAGTGATTACTTACATATGAACGTTACGTTTCCCCTCCTCGGGTGTTTTTCTTAAATAGCCAAGTTACCTAGTTTCTGAGGTAATCTTTCCTTTATCTTTTAGTTTATACTTAATTACATCCCCTATCCAGTGGCGGACTAAGCGGAGTAGAGGGGGCGATCCGCCCCAGACCTCCGGTTCTGAGGGGCCTGCAAATGGCTGCAAAGTCCCTCGATCACGGTAATAATTCGGGTTGGAGGTCCGAAGTACAGCCTGAACGGGCCTCGACCTCTAATTGGGATTTTTCCGTCACTGACCCTATCCCAATCTATCAAGTTAGGGGTTGCTATATCACATGAATAAAATAAATATTTTTATAGATAATTACTTAAGAATAATGAGGCGCTGATGAGCTTACGTCGGCAATAGCCGTAATATATACTTATATATTACTAATATTATAACTTTATTGTTTGCATCGAATAGGCTCCAAACGGCTGGAAGGATTTAAAAAATTCTTCCACCTACGGGAAGCTACCTCAAACGCGGATGACATAGGCTATAATTTACGCGGGTGAATCCCGGAAAAACAACTAGTGATTATCATAAAAATAGCAAAAAGTGACGGTACCGATACGGGCTCATTAACGTCAATGGTCACGTCACTAGATAATGATGTATTAGTCGCTTACCAGAAACGTTGCGAAAACTTCTACATGTATAGTCACTAGATGGTACGTAGGAATACTAATGTGTTTTATATTATAAACATCCTTATTTGAATGCATTTGTGTTTGATGTTTTATTTATATTAAATAAGTCTTAAAATCAGTCAAAATATTTATTTTAACACTGGCATTTCATAATACACTATTGTCATAAACACACAACGCTCTTTCATACACTGCCCGTTAATGTCTTGTCATACAGCAAAAACTAATAAACTTTTATAGCACCACAGAAAAATCGAATTTCTTCCTATAACTATAAAATATATATTTCCATAACTGCTTACTACATTTCATATTAATTTATTTTACAAAAAACGACGTTTCAGTGATGCTATAAAAGGTCAATTATTCTGCACTTCTATTGGATGTCATCAATCTTTTTAAGATAATAGAATATACATTGTGACTGGAAGTTTAATATAATAACCTCCAATCGGTCTCCAAGTTACTCGTATTAAAACATAATGTACTCTTTTCTGGCGCTAAAGAGTAACCGATATAAAACTATATATTACAATAGTATTAGTGAGTAATATTTTAACATTTCATTTATAAATACCATTGCTTTATAATTATGACAAATATTAATTTGGATTAGTGAAATAATGTGAATTAGCGTTTTATTAACGTAAGAAACAAAGATATATAAGGTACACCCATCTAAAACTTAAAAGAATTAACATTAAAGAGATAAAATGGCAGGCATAAAATCGTAAAAAAGAGGTCTTCATATAGTTAACATAACAGGATCATAATTCAGCTAGGTGATGTAATAATGGCAATTTTATAGGGTTAACATTAATTGTATTTTGCCAGTGTATTATGTAACTCTTCAGTTATAAAAGCCGCTTTGGTCTCGGCTGCATCTATTGTCGTTAAAACCCACCAATCTCACTGGACCTGCGTGGTAGTAGGTCATGATCTATCGATTATGTTAGAGTAAGCAAAATTAAGACCCCGTTTTGTATCCCGAGAGATGTTTGATATTTTTATTATACAAAATAAATGGTAGCAGCTAGTACAAAATAAACGATGTGTTAATCCATATTGACATTACATTCTTAATAAAATCAAACATACTATAATTATCTGAGGTTGTAAACCATTCGGATTATTCACTATAGATACGGAAAGATAACATTTCATATTATAATCTTTATCTGCGTAACAATTATAAACGATAATTATATTAAACCCGTAGCTATGGGGGACATACATTTATTTTAATATTTATTTCAAATAACACAACACAAACACTTGAGCACCCATACATTTAGAGATCCAATAGTTTTCAAATAATCAATACTAATATATAACCACTACCGATATTAAAGAGACTTTCATAGTCAATAGATGGCGTTGTTTTTAATTTGATGTCATTAATTATTTTTCAACGAGAATATCCATATTCTTTTATAGTGACAAATTTTCGGCTTATACCGTAACATTATTACTGTATTAGGTGAACATGGTTCATTAGGAAACTTTAATTTATATAAAAAAAAATAAGCCCGAAATTAGTACATCAACACCATCTATGATGGAAAAATATAGTTGTCGTGACATTCTATTTAAAATTATAAAAGTCAAATTACACTATAGCACACATATCTTCATTTAATATTATTATATTCACTCCAAACAAAACAATTTTCAGTCACTAAACAAACACAAATCAATGAGGAAGTATTTTAAGAAAAAAAAGAAAGCACTCATAAAGCGCCTCATTAGATGGCAACTCTACCAAAAGTCAATTTTTGCAGGAAACGAATGAACCAAAGATAGTTATTTCCGTTCCTTTTAACATGAAAGATAACCGAAAGGGCTGCCATGGAGAAGTCAAGAAAGTACCGTAGCGACATCTAGTTTAATTTGGGGAACTAAATACTTCCGCAGTATAATTATCATAACATAGTCAATGAGTGATTGATTTTAAACTTGAAATTATAATTTCTTTCTCTTCAAACATAATTCATACACTTCGATTTTAAATAATAGGATATAGCCATGTAAAGTCTACTTATTATAGTTCCTGAAATTTAATGATTCAGTCGGATATTGCGCCTTTACAAATATAGCACTTCCGCCAATACTTTAAAAGTGTATTATTGAACTTTATATTAATTTATTATTTGAAAACTATGACGGGATTCAACAAGAAATTTAGTATATACTTAGTGGATACTGTACAATCGTTCAATATTGTTCTGATTAGGTCAGATAATTTATACGTTTGCGGCGCCTTAGTTGTTATTGTGCCGCTAGCTTGTTTGCAGTCTATACACTGAATCTCGTGCCCTTTAATTATCATGTCTTTGGTTCCGATGTTATAAGAGATATAGTCGTTGGAAAGGATTCCTTTGAACCGTATCTTGTCGTCTGATCTCAATAAGCGAGTGAAGTTAGTGAAAAAATGTTCGAATATCAACGTAATCTCGGCTCTGCGTTTTAATATACCCCCTCCAGCTTCCATTTGCAATTGAACTTCGTAAGTGTACCTGCAGAATAAAAAACAATAATTGTAATAGGTTTTAATCTTATTTTCGCTTGAAAATTAATAATAAAACCGCTTAAAAGTAAATTCGCTTTTAAAATGACGCTGTGAAGTTGATAACTAGATCTTGACATCACAAGTCTATTTAAGTGCATTGTCGTCTTTGTCTAGTAAAAATTGTAATGTCTTAATAAATAAATGGAATCTTATTTGCTTTCGAAAATTTTAAATGATAAACAAATAAGAATTTTGACCATATTTCTGTCACATTAACGGCAATGGTAATGTTATATCCTTTATGATATGGGAACGCAGCGCAGTGGAAGAAAAATAACAGAAGTGATTTATTAACATTATTAGAAATTATATACTTACTCGTCCAAATTATGTAGGTGGCAGCTTTTTCCACTCTGTCTTGCCACACTTCTTACAAATTCGCACTCGTTCGAATCTAAGCCTTGTTCTCCATTGCATAAAGTAGAATACTCCTCTCCGTAATAACATTTGAAGTACTCCTTCAAAAAGCCGGGTAGCCAAGACGCAAAGTAATTCCATCTATTCAGGACACTTTTCACTTTAACGTCTTTTATATAACCCTCCCAATTTACGTTGGCACCTTCGAGCACAGAACACTTGATTTGCGTTTGCGCAGTGTTATAATCCACCCACGATGGAGTGTTGCACTGGCTGTAATAATCCTCCCAATTTATATGGTAAGTGTTGTCGTCGTAATCTGTTAAGAACTCGTTCTTCAGGAGGTTCTTTATGCTGGATTTCTCATCGCCTATGAGTTCTAATAGGCCTGAAGGTAAGCCGTCATCTTGAATGTTGGATATGAACTGATTGCCGAAGTAGACTAGTGTCAGCAGACCGATAGCGAGCTATGGTAAAAAAACAATCAACTTTAAAATTTTGTTATGTTGAATGAATTTCATACTTATTTACAATAGACAATTCGGTTTGCGATTACAGAAGTTAAGCAACTTTCGTAAAGGTCTATTATCAGGTGAGAAACAAAAAATATCCTCTCAACAGGTGACCCAGCTATATCTACTACGGTTAGCACCTACCAATCCGCAATAGACAGTTTCAGATTTATATATAGGTAGATCTAAAGGCCTTACAATGTGGAGTTGCTTAATAATACAATGACTCCGCTCACGTCATTCCAATGTTATTTTCAGTTAGTGTGAAGAGGACAGAACACTTAAACTACACACCACTTACTCATTAATTATAAGGCCTTATTAGTGCTATTAATAAATAAGATCAGAATAAATTTACGCAAAAATTCCAATTTTAGTATTAGTCCAAATTCATATCATACAGAGTATAAGCAAACCTACTACAATCTAGGAGTAAATATTATTCCCGTAGAACTTTTGCTCTTTGTTTCAGCGTAAATATACACGATCGCTTAACCTTGTTTAATAATAACACTGGATATGAATAGAATTTTTATTATGAGTTAAAATATACTGATCTTTATTTCATTATCTCTAGTCTATTACCTCATACACAAGGAAACCTAACTTCCTTAGTCGTGACTTCTACGATTAGCTTAATAGGCAAGCACCTTCATTGTGTATAAAACTTTTTATTTCAATAGAGAAAAAACGCAAAGCTAGCACATAGATGGCAGTACTAGCGCAATGCAGCAAACAAAGCAACTTTTTCGAACATTTTGACTTCTCGAAAAGAAGGATCTCCTTTCTTCTTACGTCCAAATATGCATCTATGACGTATTTATTGGATAAACTTACTCTTTCTAATTATAAATTCAATAAATATTAAATTCCTACTATACTCACTATTATGTACTTTACTCTTTGTTCACTTTGTACATGTTTGGCATTTATAGAAAACTTTACTTCATGTACTAGTGACAGAAAGCTGCAGTAAGTAAGGTTCTACAGTAGTTTCAAATTCTTACCTGAAACGGAGTAACAAACTTCTTAGTCATCTCTGATTTGGCCAACATGCAACTGACGAAGAGGCTAAACAGAAATCCAACGACAATCGAGACCGTATAGAACACTCTGGACAAAGTTATGCACTGCAAGAACGCTAACACAGGCAAGGAAACTGTCACTATACCCATCAGAGGCAAGAACAAGAAAGTGCACACGAGTGCTAAAGTCCCCCTAATAAGACCATAAGTGGTACAACCATGGGAACACATAATGAACATTTGTAACCAGCTCAAAGTAACACAATGAGGCATAGCGTATTTGAAGAAACCTTGCCAGTGGCTCCTTCTAGCCATTACCACCAAAATCAATGGTATCAGTAGTGAAAAGAAGACGCGAGCGTTTAAACAAAACTCGATGCTATTCCCTAGAATATAAGACGGATAATTGGATATGTGCAGATCTAAAAATCTCCAGCCTTGGTGGACAACTGTGTCCTTTTCGTAAGGGTATTTTGCTAGTACGTTTATAGCGAACGAAATCAGAGCTAAAATATCGGGGTACGGGCTACCGTTGGTTCCGAAGGAGAAGAGAGTGAGAAACATGAGGAAAAAGGACAAAACACAGAATTCGGAGAACGGTATCCATTGGGTCGCTATGAACGGATAGAGGAACAAATTCGTGAATAGGGCTAAGAAGAATTGGATGAAAGGGCCCAGGTTGTTTCTAACGAAAAGGTTTTCTGATTCGTCGGGATGTAAATTGCCATCGCTGTACCGCAAAAATAAACCCGACCATTTCCTGAAGTCTATAAACTGCCTTTTCGCGTGTAACATTTTGAATGTACATATCACCATCGCTACGAAGCTGACGTAATACAAAAGTAATGGTACTAAATGGTAAAGACTGTCTGTACTGACGGACAAATACGCGATTAGGATTAGAGACAATTCTATATTGGAAAGTCTAAAGGAAAAAGACGCGAAATAATATAGGAGTTTAAGATATAAAACTTGTATAAAAACTATAGGATGCAAATATGCTTGTTGGAATAAAGGTATGTGGTCGAGACATTTTAAACTGGGATCTGTTAATGTCAATTCGTATGTGACTAGAGGGAGTTCCCCTTGGCAATAGTCTACTGCGGCTGATACTAGATTATCTACGGTGAGATTCCTTATCTCTTCATTGGAACTGCAAGAGTCTGAATAATCTGTAATGGAAAATATACCTAATTTTAATAATCATCTTAATTTGCATATAAAATATCTTATCTTTATTATTTAGTAGTAATATAAATAGGAATAAAACAGCCTACAAAATACACAACTTGCTTCTCTTTAGAAAAGAATTGAACTCAATTTGTTGCCGTGTATAAAAGGACACTGTATTTTCAATTGTTGTAGGTTAAAATAGTAAACAGTTCAGTTGTACTACCAAGTAGCTGAACATAACATTCTACAGTACTGGTGGATGAGTCGACTATAGACTGGTTTATATACGGAACTTAGAATTCAAATATAAAAGCAAAATATCCTTGATATTTGAATAAAATGATTAAGGGTCAATTTTATAATGTTGAAATTTTTTTCAAAGTTTTGTTGAAACATTCATTCGTAAGTGATTAATTAGCGCTCATAGTATTCGAAAAAGTCTTCGTTTATATTCGAGAGAAAAAAGAATTATCAAATAATTGTAACTAGCTAATATAGTTTAATTACCGTCGTCGGGCGTGTGAGTTGGCCTGAGAGTTCCATTTGTGTTTATCTGATCGCCCGCTTGCAATTGTGACGGTTCCAATGCTTGTTCTCCACCGAGAGCGGGTGCCTCTTCTGCGATAAAACAGTCAATGTAGATTAAACATAGGTATCTACATGTCTAGACTACTCTACAATTTTTACATCGCTAAATTTTTCGTCAATTTATTTACTGAATTTTGTTCTTTTTGTTATTCGATTATCTATAGATATAATATACAGTTAGATTCATAGATGCATTCATAAAAAAAAAAACATTAATTAAAAAGGAGGTTAGTTAGATTATGTTTTTCAGGTTTTTAACTATCAATTTTGATGTCGTCCGTTATTTTAGCAAAACAAGGGAATTCTTCAATTAAACCAAAATATCTTCACTTTGTATCATCATGTCTTTCTAAAAATACAAGAATTGTTTCAAATCATAATTATATTTCCAAAATAAAAAAATGATAAAATTTTAAATTACCTGGAGAGTCATCGTCTTGTGAATCTTCGTCGGATTCCTTCCTTAGCGTTGTGGTGCAGATCTCACGTATGCGACGTTCGAGTTGGGCCGTAGTTATATATTGCTCCCCATTCGACAAGCTAATTTAAAAAATCATTTTTTTTATTTATGAATTACCTAAAGCGTCATAGTTTTTTATTCAATTTTAATCCTGATGAATCCTGAGAAAAGTTAAATATTGTAGGTATACTAACAAAGCTAAACATATACGAATTTTGAATCAAACAAACAGTTATAGCCACAGAACACAGAAAGACGTTAGAAGGGCCTTGTGGGCGTGGCAGTGCAGCCACGATCCTAGACAAATGTACAGGATCGTGACTTCACCACGCGATCGCGATGTTTAGTCATTCACGTACGCGCGCGCTGTAAGTACTGTGAAACACGCAACAAAAGTGTTAAAAATGCCGACTTTCGCAGTTATTAATTGCAAAACAAGAAGCCCATCTTCAAGTTGGTCCAAAGGAAGGATTTCTTTCCATTATTAAGTAGAACACTTCTCAAATTTAGTATTTTTAGTCGAAAATCGTAAAATGTTATCAAAAGTGTGAATCACAAAAATATTTCCAAAAAAATATACATTGCTGGAGAAGTGCGCATATTTATTACATTGCGTCGTACTAAGCACGTAATGTAATGAATATCGCGAAATTACCGTTTTAAATAACAACATAATAGATTACGGTAGATGGGTAGTGAAGTGCCTGGAAACATGTAATCGATTCTTGGTATGTTAGGTAGTAAAAACTAAATAAAAGTATGGACAATAAAAATAGTGGTAATAAAAAATAAATTTTATCAGAGATTAACCATATTGACTTCGTCTGGAATGCGTTTGTATATTAATTTAATAATGAGTGTGGTAATAAGTCTGTTTTTTATATTCTTAATATGAAACAGAAAACTATTTTTTTTATTTTGAACCATTAACAACAATACATTTTAAATCATCGGAGTCTGTTCAGGATAAGTTCCAATAGCATTTATTGTACTGATAGTATTTTTTATTTTGTATATATTTATTTACATTATATTGTTTGTCAATATTACTAGTTTCATTTAAGCGATGTTGCCGATCTTATCTGTTTACTTGATACGAAATCGAGTAACGTAACGTAAAAAAACCTACTATTATTATTAATAATTATATGCATATATTTAAGCTCGACTAGTACCGATTCAATGTTAGTTCGTTAGTAATTTAAATATTTCTTATTGAATCAACCAACTAATTAAGAATTTATATCTAAAGAAAAAAGATAATGTCTCATTTAATCAATACAATTCAATGTATATCCAATACAATATAAATAAAAATCATTAATCTAGTATCCTTTCAATTAATCGACTTGTTGTTTTTCAATATCGATAGTAAATAACTTTATGTCAATCACTAGTGTGATATGTCAAATTGCGCACTATAGATGTCTGTTATGGTTGAGCGTGATTGGTTATAGTTATATTGGCGAGCGTTCTGATTGGCATGTTTAAAATACAAGTGTGTGCATATCTTTTGTATAATTGGTCTAATTATTCGTCTGATGTACGGCAGACTAAAAGTGGGGCAAGACTGGCTACATCGGTTTTCGTACTAAGGATGCATGATCGCCTTTCTAACCTTTTTTCCGTGTTCTGTGGTTATAGCCACTTCCAAATTATATGGAGAAAGTTTCACCAACTTCGTTTGCGCAGAGTAAACCTACTAATGCTGACGATGACTGCACGTTTAATTGAAATTCACAAATAGGGACTTGTTTTAATAAACATAAGGTGTAGAACACAGCGCAATAGGAGTCCTTCTCACTCACACAGTTGAATATTTAGTTGCATCTTGGAACCTGGTAGTCACTAAAGTAATATAAACCTTCAACTGTGAAATATGAACATATATCATTTATTTACATACCTTGCAAAGAGGTCTCGTGCCGCCTTCCTTGCGACCGTCTCTTGCCGGCTGGCCGCGAGACAGGACTTCGCTCTCACGATGGCAGCACTATCTTCGTCTATTACACCGCTGCGAATACACCTGGGAGAGAAAATAGTTATGATTTTAGGCTCGCACGCCTTTTTTGGTCCCTGCCGCTTGACAGGCGACAGAGGATGTGTGGGACTCTCCATCCACACGGACCCACCCGAAGGCTAGTCAAAACGTGAATAGCATACCCACTAAACCCCCTCCGATGTACCCTCACTTTTAGGGGAAGGACGTGGGATCCAACATGGACTGCTCCATAACGTTTGAATCCCCGAAGAGGATGCCGTCAATGAGAAGGAAAAGACTCAAGTAAAAACAGCCTTTTCCTCAGACGGTGAACCACCCACTAAGCAGTTATGAATAGGGTGTCAACCCAGATCATGCAGTATAGTAGAAGGAAGGGATGCTTTAATATGCGATCCCTTCACCCTTCCGTCTATGCCAACGGAGATTACTGTCACGGCTCCTCCAGCTGGGCCTCCTCCTGGGGGCATGCCCTAAGGCTGTCCCCTCGCAGCACTATCGTTACCGCGGCCAACGGGTTCTGTCACACCCCGGAGTCGCCATAACCGAGCCATATGGTCAATGGCTCGCACGCCCAAATCGATACTTCATCGACCTGAAGCCGACTAGACCGGGGCTCCCCAACTGCAATGGATGGCGGTCCAGTGCACTCGTTGGTCTACTCGAGAAGACGTTCCGTTTCACCCTTTTGCGTGAGCCAATCCCTGGTAACTGGTAAGGAATGGCCAGGACGATCCGGACCGTCCCGATGACCCAAGCTCGATGCAGAAAATTGAAATATTATCATTTACTCCACAGCAAAACAACAGTTGTGACGCGAGGTTTTAGTGTAATCTTTGTCTCAAAAAGACATGTAAGTTCACGAGAGAATTCATATGAAATTCAAAAGTTCCTAATAAGGGATAAAAACTTCGAAAATCACACTAATGTGATTTCGTCTTTCAAATAGCCTAGTAGGTTTCAGATGATTTCGAAGCGAATGCCTTCACTATAGATGGGATCAAATAAGTAGAAGACATTTATATAATTATGATTAAAATTTTCTGAATCAATTCAATACATTTTGGGCTTTTAATAACAAATAGCTTATATTTACAGTAAATTAGTCACTAAACTATATCGAAACGATTATTTTTGCAAAACCAATATGGTGTGTGCTACGGGTCAAGCTTTTTCTCCCTGATATGGGATACTGATATGAGTCCATACATAGCAGAAGTAGTATTAAAGCAATAATGAGGAGAAAAAGAGTGCTGCTCAGTTTTAATTTTAATGCTGACGGTTTGATACAAGTTGGGGGTTTGTTAGCAGGGGAGGATCTACCTATGGGCTTTACGGGCTTTAGCTTAGAGCCAAGTAAATACAAAGGGCTCTCAACCCACTATAAAAATAACATTTACATTAGGTACTATTAAAAACAGTTTCTTAACAAAATTACATACAATTACTTCAGAAATTAATAGACTCCTGTTTAATATTAGCCCAGGGCCCCACAAATTCACGAACCGCCCGTTTGTTAGTACTGGAATGGAAATTACGAACTGAGAAACAACCACGATATTGGAAAAGATTGTGCTTACAAAATTGAAATAAAATCTACGGTCTTACATGGAATACCGCAGTTCATCTCTAACTCTGTCCCATTTTATCTTCCATAATGCGAAATCGTGTACGTTTCCATTCATTTCATTTCAATGTTGAACATACGAAACCTTCAAAGATTCACATTGAGCTATGCCTACTGACTGATCTAGAATCACAAGTATAGTATCACCAAGAGCTAAAGAGTGAATCCAACCAAACCAAAACCGACGACCACAGTTTACTGAAATAATGGAGTACTGCTTTTTGCTTATGTTTAAAGAATGCTTGTAATTCTACACATGGTTACCTCATATCATTATGCGATGTTTCCTTTGTGTTGATCTCGTATTCGGATGAATTGTGAATGTTTTGAGTTTCTTTGACAGAATTGTCAATATTTACGCGACGAGCGACAGGTATCGACGACAGTTGAATGTGCGTAAAACCTCTATGAATAGTCTTTAGAGGTTAATAATAATCACAAAAATCTAAGGAGTCGAACTAAGTTTGATTTGTTCAGAGGAAAATGTATAGCAGAATCTGATGGCAAAAATAAAAGACAAATACACACAAAAAAACAATATATAATATAATCTCAAGCGAGAAATATTGTTTTACTATTTATAGCAAAATCTGTGAAAAGAAGCTGAAGATCAACGATTTTTATTATTTTAAAGTGTGTTTATGAATTAACCTGGCTACACCAGGTAAAAATAGGAACCGAGAAAAGAAGAAAATAAACTAAAGCAGATTTGATTTAGATGTGTAATCGTAACAGCAGTTGCAATACTAATTAACGGAGCGGCTATGCCAAATTTGGATATTTTCTACGCCGTAGCCCTATTTGACAATATCTACTAAAACATAGTCCGTTATGATACTAATTCTTCACGTCATTTATTTACTGTAATTCATTCTTTCAGAACATGTATATATTTAAGTGATAAAGAACTATATATATTACCTTCTCAACATTCTTCGTGCCTCCGGATGTGCCTGCTCTGTCGCACATATCAGCCACTCTAATGCTTGTTTAAAGTTCGATATCTTGTCTGCCTCCAACTCTGGAAATGATACACGATAGTTATAGATCCTAGCTGCAATGCAATGACGTTATTAAAGTAACAATAATCATTTGCCATGAACATTTTCTAATATCCACGGCATGGCAATCCTCACGGCTGGGGGCATTTTCCTGCACAGGAGTTAACAGGATAGACTAAACAGGAAGAACGGCACTATATAATATTATTCTATTACTGGGGTTAATAAGTTAATAGAATAATTATTGTTAAACCTACACCTTTATCCATGGGTTGATCGATAGATAATATGTCATTGCAAAGTGTTAATGTATTAATCTTGTAATTGGAGACGTTGGCACCTGCGGTAGTTGCTTTTGATGTGAGGTTCGAATTTGTCTGTTTGGAGGATGTTGGACGAGCGACCAGGCGGAATTTCACATAGTATCTGGGTTAAAATATCTAGATACTGTATTCCATGTACAAGCAGATGATGGTGCTCAATAAAAGTTAAGGCATGTCTAGTATAGTACTATTTACAGCTTTTGCAATCAGAAATCTGATAGTGTTTTAATAAACAAGGTTTAGCGTTGAAGTAAATTTACGCTGAGGCTGCATTTAGTATTAGTAAATGTTTTGCTTATTTTTTGTATAATATGAATTTGGACTAATATTAAAATTTCAATTTTAACGTAAATTTGCTATGACGCTAAACCTTGTTTATTAATAATGATGCAAGTGTTTATTTAATATGATATTAAACCTACCACATTTTTCTTCTAACAGTTGTTTGGCAAGCACAACCTGTGATTCAGCACACCCATCCTCTGCAAGCTGATTACGGAGCCTTCTCAGTGACCCTTGAGGCCCATCTGGAGAAATAGAGACTAAAAAGTATATTTGATAAATCACTTCGATAAAATGATAACAAAGGCTTATTTGAAGACATCGTCAAGGTTAATTTAGTGAAATTTGGGGGCAACTTTGTCATTTTATCCATTGAGAAAATTTCAATATCATTTTGCTGTGACAAAACCGTTAATTGTAATCTTATTTTAAATTATAGCTTGTTTAGTCTTGTGTAAATTAAGTTTTATTAACAAAGCGTCAGTAACGTGTCATCAATTAGTTACTACTTTGACACTATTGCCACTTTGGTGCGAATAGACTTAAATTGTGGTCTGCGGACTGTATTGTCAAATACTTTGAGCATTATATTTAGTAATGTTTAAGTTAGAAACAATCAATCTTAGTGCATCCAGATTTTTCAAATTTCTTGTTGCTTGAATGTAAAATTTTTAACAGACTTTGAAAATAGGAGGTTATCAGTTCGAGTGTAGGTATGTACGCCATTTCGTTGGAATGGCGTAATATATATGTATGTATTTATGTATGTCTGTATGTTTGTCCACGGATATCTCGCAAAGTAAGCGTCAGACTGCAATGTTTGTTGTTTTGTTTAATTGCTTAGCTTCCAACTTAGAGTACACTACAAGTTTTATCAAAATGGATTCTGTAGTTGTGGAGATAACTATTAAAATATAAGGTACTTATAAAAGGAGTAAAAATTTAACCGACAGGAGTTGAAATTGATGACCTCCTTTTTAACCAAATTCAAAAAAGGAGGCCATCAATTTACCGGTGTATGTACGTACGTCAATTACCGACTTAAGAAAAAGAGTAAGTTTTAATCGACCTTAAAAGAATTGCGGTTATCAATTTTGTTGGATATGGCGCAATCAGAAAAATTAGATTTTCTTATGGTGCTTTTTTACTTCTTACGAATAACACGGCTGGCAAAGTCGTAAAAAATATTTATGTATCGACTTTTTGTGTTTCGATTTTATTGAAGATAAATATTTTGTGGTATTATTTGTCTTCTTTCAGTCGTTTCTCTTTATTTCGATTTATTTTAATTGTTTTTTTTTAATTCATTACTCTGTACATTGTAACACATACTTCAAATATAATTACATCGTGAATACATAATGAAACAGTGCTAACCATTTTAGTAATAGGCAACAGATAATTTTATTAGTATAGTATATGAATTAGCTAATAATTAGCATTTGAATGAAAGTTGCAGATTACATCAATTTGTAAAGTCAACAAACAGCATGTCCACTTATACAAAACAGTTAAATTTTCCACTTAATTTAAAATCTTATCATATTAAGGGATTTCAAGGAGATTGATTTGAGTCAAATCAATTGCAGAAAATTGACATATTCATGTGCACATCAAATAAGCAATATGTCTTTTAATATTATTTTATTTTCAACATTCAAAGAAATTTCAGCCATATAAATTTTAACTATAGTCACATTATCTTCAAATAACAATACATAGTACAAGATATCCAAAAATAAAATTAGGAAACAGAGACCACATGCAGTGTTAACTTTTATAACTTCTATTTATATCTAACAAAATAAGAACCAATACAGAATGTGTTTATTCTTGATTTGTAGATGATAAAATAAAAAATTCTATGCACACTGATTTTATGAATTTGTCATAAAATAACAGACTAATAATAATGACAATATTTTTTTTTATTCGATCAGGGTATAATATACACTACAGTTACTAATTATAAGATAGGTTATTCCACAAAAATCGTGAAGGTCTATGTCCATGGCCTTTTTATTGATAAGTCACTATTAAATGTAATATGAAGAAAAAGATATTGATGTTTATTCAATACATGAGTAAATTTCCTTATAGCCTTCCTTACAGTTTAAAAGTTGAAGTCTTACTTTGGAATGTAGACAACGAATGACTATATATTGTTTTAAGCTTTCATGATCATTATTCTTATTAATGACCATGACAGCTTAAAAAAATGACCATTAATGAATATTAAAATATATTTATTTATTTTATAGCAATATGGTGCCTAAAAATAGAAGATGTCCAAAGAGGAAATAACTATGAAGAAATCAGTTGCTGCAAAGTGTTAGAAAAGACTAAAATTTATTAGGTATCATTTTTATTGGTGAAACACCAGATAGTGTATGAAAATGCATGTGATGTGGCAATATGTAAGCGAACTGCTGATAGTTTGATTGCCCAAAAATGCAAAATAACTAATTTGTATATCTGAGATGATATTTTGATGATGAGATTGATATTTTGACCTAGGAATAAAAGTTTAAGTCATAGAAGATCTGATCCTTTGAATGATCAAGGATTGCAATCAAAACAACTTAATAGTTTTTAAGGTACACTTATTGCGCACCATGTTACCGGAAATGTATATAGGCAATCACAAAATTACTTTTTCTGCAAAATAATTTGTAATCATTATGGACTAGGATTATGAAATATGAAACTTAAAATTACTTAAAAGTAAACTCTTAACAAAACATTCCATTTTTTACGTAATTAGAAATAAGATATAGATTAGCAGTGTCAACAAGTAATGTTATGTCTATGTTACTTTAGAGCATTGTACAAAATGTAATAGTGATTATTTTAAGAATAAAAATATTTTAATTGTACTTTGTTAATTCTATATTATAGTAAACAAGTACTGAATAAATGTGAATCTAAATATATAAAAACCCTGTTTTTAGCCATATCACCATAGTTCATCAGGTCCTAGGTGTAACCATCATTACCCAGAAGCCACAAAATACTAAATATTTTCTAAAATACTGCATAAAGTGTCTCCCCCTTTTAAACATGGTCTTAGTATATTCTTATATATATTTTTAACTATAACATAAAAATGTGGTAAACCTTACTTAATTTTCTTCCATTAATATTTTATTATCTTCTTAATATGTATTACAGCATTTCTATATAGATAGCTTGAGAAAATAGTCTGATAGAATATATCTAATTACAATTATTATTTTAATGACCTTTGCATTCACAATGTCATCTTAAGATTTATTCAGATACTATATTTTCTTTAATACATATTAAGGTAGAATAGTGAATACAAGAATCACAATTAAAATTGTTAATGCATTTTTATTTTACTCAAGTTTAAAGTATTTATAAAATTATTTATTTCAAACATTAGCAGAATATTGCTTATTACCGATACAAATTAATCAGTCACATTTGGGCATCAGTATAGTAAGAGACAACAAATATGGCTCAATGATACACTAAATTTGGAAGAGCTGTAATTCCTGCCCCATCAGAGTGATACAAATAGAACATCATTGGGTGCCAAGTGAGATAATTGCTTAATGAACTGTATTTCATACCTCATAATCATCGATACAAAACCATACATTTTAGATATATGTGCTGTTATCAGAATAATACCTGAAAATAATTCACTAAGCATATGTCATATTCATAGCAAGTTACTGTACCTAGGTGACATTCCATTAATTAAAGGTTTATGTTATTGTTCAGTTTCATTTAAAAGAAGGCCAATAATTCTTGTTGAAATGAAAACTTAATTCAAATAAATAATTCGAGTACACATTCAGTACTTAATTTACGGCACTTATGATGGACATATTATACTAAATGCCTAGTCACGTAATTATACATTGTAGTGTGAGGGTTTGCAAAAGCTGAAATTTGTTGAAAGAAATTTAGAAAATTTAACAAAATGTACACATACATAAACAAGTCTTTGCAATGCCTGACAAATGTTTTATAAAATATTCATTTCATTTGAATAATTTCATTTTATTGGTATACTACCAATAAAATGAAGTACAATATACTAGTCATAGCATAAATAATGATAGATTTATCAGTCTGTCGGCTCTATAACCCATTACAATCAAATTAATTAGGCATTTCGAAACTTACCATGTAAATTCCATCTTTTTCGACCGACCGGCATTATTGTAACAGCTGTTCAATTTTGTATAATAATTAGTTACACTGACGAAAACACAGGAAAGATAAATTTTACAATAACAATAACTCCCGAACTTTGTTCATACATCAGTGAAATAGCGATTGAATTTTCTTTAGTTTGTTTTTATATCTAAAGCACAGAACGCAATTAAAATTATAGTTACAAGATCGCAAATCATTAATTATTTCTCAAGTTTGTGTTGATTTTAAACTAGCTCATTCAAACATTAATGACAAATAAAGGTACTACACCTCCTGTACGGCCTGTTATGACAGTTTTTGCAAAACAAAACGCAAATGGTCCTTTCAAAAATCTATGTCTTCAACGTTTATTAAAATTTACTCATCTCGTTTAATGAAGGGAAAGCATTGTAAGTGTAGTTGTACTCTAATTTCTCTTTTATTGTATCTTGGTAAAACCACCTACATTTAACCACCCACGCAAGAAAATTAAAACAAGTATATGTGTAATTGATGTTTTATTAAAGTTAAGTTTATATAACTTAATAATACTTGAACATATTGTTATTTATTTCCTTAAATAAAATGTCATTATTAAAGTGCCTTATGGATTATTTTTATATTATTTACTTATTTTTAATCGGTTCAGCCAGTGCCAACTTTTTAAAACTTGCAATAACTAAACGTTTTTAAGGTTAGTTTTTTTTTAGTTATCCCAAAGGCATCAAAGCATATACAGCATATATTTTTCTTTATGTATAAGTATTACACACAGAAATAAATCTAGTTAGAAGGAAAATGTTCGTCGATTTATATGGAGACCGAGTAGCCACATTTTGTGTAGGTATCATGACGTCACGATCTTAATTTAGTGTTGGAAGACATAATTTCACTTGCATCGAATACATGTTGTATTTGAAATGGCATACCGATTCTTATCGATTGAAAAAACGATATCGATCGACGGAGACCAACGTGTAAAGTCTATCTATAAAGTCATGAAAAGAATGTTTGAGGAACTAACATTAGACACAAGTATGACAACACTGAATCAAAGTACATCGACTGTCAACAACTTGATTTTTTAGCTCGATTTTCTGCATTTTTGATTTGTTTTGATTAACTTGAGGCTACTTCTTCTAAACTCCGTCGAAAAGTGTTAAAATGAAGAGAATTAATCAGAGTGAAGCTCAGGATATTATTTATAAAGTTTTTCAGTGATGTTTATTGGAACAAGAAGCTGGACACATTTTATCATATTTGTAGGATGTTAAAGCTCGAACGGCAGTTATGGCTGGTATGTAATCGTGTTACTGATTGAGTTTTGGTTACCAGAAGTTTCAAATTTACTAAATATATGAATTTAAGTCTAAAATAAGTATTGATTACATTATGCATTTATAGGTTAGATTGAAAATGTTAGAAGGCTATATTGTAGTGCGGCCCGAACTTTCAATACTTTTGGATAATCAAATTTATCATTGATTTTAATCTGAATAAAAAATATACCTGTACAAAGCTGTACAAAGCGATTTTTTTTACTCGATTAAAAAATATCGTTTTTGAAAGCAGAAAAAATGATAATTAATTTTATATTGAATTGTACTGTAATTTTTGTTTAAGTTTTCCGTATGATCCTCATATTAAAAATAAATGTATTGAAGCAACAGGACTCTAAGGCAAATAGTAGGTATACTTACTGGACATGGAAACTTTAACAAACACCTATATAACATGAGTTATTCTGATAGTCCTCTGTGCAGGGCGTGCATGGAGACTGAGGAGACAAGCGCTCATATGATACTGGAATGCAGGAGCCTATTAAGACAAAGGACTACATATCTAGGTAGCCCAAGGACACTAGTGGAAGCATGCGGCAGAGTTCGAGAACTTACGGGCTTCCTGGAGAAGTTGGGGTGGCAGGACTAATGCAACCCCGTGTCACGCAAAATAGGCACTGAGTGTCGTGTTGCGGAAAAGCCCGCCGTGAAACATAACATAGCAGAACGTAAAAATGTGTAGCGTGTCGGGAGGGGTAGCGGTTACTATAAAGTGTTTGTCCACAGAAAAATGCCGATTTCTATTCTATCACATAAAATCTTTTTTGCGCCGATTCACTAAATTACATTCGTGACATTTACATAATATTTAAGCAAAATGGTATACGTTGCTCTCCGTCGATCGATATCGTTTTTTCAATCGATAAGAATTGGTATGCCGTTTCAAATACAACATGTATTCGATGTATGAAAAAATTATGTCTTCCATCACTAAATACAGCCTATTGGCTACCTATACCTACTCTTTTTAAATCTAAGAAATACATGATGAGATGTATGACTTTAAAAATATATCGATTATGATACGGATTTGATATCTGAAAATAAATATCGAAGCCGATATATCGCGTATAAAAAAATCGCTCATTTATATCAATTTTTTTCAGGAAAAATATCGACATTTTGATATCGATAGTATCGCCCAATCCTTACCCCTATAATATACAATAAATGCGCATGCCATGCGTTTTTCTTATTGTTACGTATTTTTTTAGATTGCATTTTGTGATATTAAATTGATCGTGAATTGTTTTAATGAAAATCTAAACATAATGTTGACTCCGCGATTCCAGTTGACTCAAGATGATAATCATGTATTCGTTGTAATACACGCGCCGTATACAAATATCGGTGATACTGAAATTGACATCGATGGTGAAAATTTTTTGTTTGTTTCTAGCCCATATTTTTTGAGGTTGAGGCTACCAGGCAGAATAGTTGATAATGATAGCTCCAAAGGTTCATACACTTGTGACTCGGGAGATTTCAGTCTCACTTTTGATAAGGAAACGCCGGGCGAATACTTCGAAAACTTAGACATGATCACCAGTCTTCTGGCTCCCAAAGATATACCGGATATAAATCCTAGTTTAGTAGAAATGTTCGAAGAAGATGGCATTACTTTCGAAGATAATGATGATGATAACAATAGTAATAAGTTTACTTATGGATTTGCTTCTAAAATTTCAACAGAGTTCAGTAGTATTGGTAGTGAATTTCCTCAAATATTCGAGCTGAAAGTACCAGAGAACGTTGCAGTAAGGGATCGTACAAACATGAGAATAGAGTATGAAAATGATAAATTCTCTTCTGACCATTATTTAGCTGATTTGTATGAAGATGAACTAATTGCACCATATTTATGCCATCCACCTTACTGGGAGAGTTCAGAGAACAGTAATAATATTGAGTTCACAGAAGAGGAAGTTGGAGTATTGAAAGAATTACCAAATAAACATTATCTACTTAGTAAAAGTGAGAAAAAGCAGATTTTACTTGGTTTGATTGACATTCTTTTTGGTTATTGTTATGACAAAAGAACAACACTAAATGAAAGTACTGTAGAATCCAGTTGGACTATAAATAAATTGTCTTCAACATTAAGTTGGTTCTGTGTGTTCGATGATGTTAAAGAAGTATTGGCAGCATGCTACAGAAGAGCTCTAGTTTATCCAATATTTAGAAACTTTGACCTGTGTGAGAAAGTTAAGGGTGACCTTATAGCTATGTTTAAAAAAGGTAAAAAGATCATTATAAAGTGTTTCATTGAAATTCATCAAATGTTCAACACCAGTAATGATGCCCGTTACATACTGAATCAGTTGTATATTAAAGATTATTTAGTATTTCTTCAAAAATGTAGAAATGAAGAGATTGAAGAGTTACATAAAAATATGATCAATATTGAAATAACAAAGAACGATTTAGGCTTAGAATTGGAAGAGTTGGAAGCTGCGGCAGAATTAGTACAGCAAGAAGAAACTGAAATAATGGAGAATGAAATGGCACTAAAAATGGCTTCAATGTCATTGTTGCCAGGTCTTAAAAAGAATAATATCACCTACAATGAAGAAAGTGATGAATATGATTCTTCTTCATCAGATTCAAGTAATGATTCTTCTGATGATAGTTCGGACGACTTGGATTCTGATGATGATCCCTTGTGATACCACTACTATGGTTCCTAGTGTTCAAGCAAGGGCTTGTAATTGTTTCCGCATGAAAAGACTGAGTAGAATAAGAAATGTAATGGATGTCTGCAATATTTTACATTGTGATGAAGGTTTTTCCTGAATGAGGCTAATTTTCATCAGTCACACTTTTATGAGTGTACATAGGTACACTCATTATAATAGTATAATTTTATGATTTTTAGTGATGCGGAAACTGACAAGCCAAGGACAATAGAATAATTGTAAAATTGATGTCCCTTTTGTGCTATAAAACTGTTTGAATTTACATTTGTATGCAAATAGGAATAGGTATATGATATCCCAATCTATTGTATATAGTATAGGTATTAATTGTTCTATAACAAACTAGATCATTATTAGATGTTTTTATTTAATAAAGTTATCCAAACTAGAAACCACTGGAGTGGAATATGCATATATTTAAACTTGAACTTGTGAACAGAATGTTTATGTTAATAATTACTATTTTTGATAAATTTTGTATGCAAAATACTAATTTTATCAAAAATAATAATTTGAATGTTAAAGTATATGTGAAAAATTATTCTGCAGGCTGTTAAATACTAAATGTGAATTGATAATACTCACTAATAGCAAAAGCAACCATTAGGGAAATTTAGTCTGCCTCATTGCTTGCAGTGATGCAATACCACTACTACCACTACCCAGGGATACTAGGCCTTTTTTTACGAAAGGAAATGCTTTATGCATTGTGGTGTGGGGGTGAGTGGGAGAGTTGCCTGCTCTGGGGTCTACTGTGTAACTTCTAACTAAATGTTACTTATTAAAAGGTCAGGGTATTGAAACCAGTCCCACATCTGAGACAGTTAAATTTTTTGTTATATTTCTTTATGCTATACTGACTTTAAGCTAAAATGTATTTTTTGTAATTGATTTCATACACTTAATTATTTTAAATAACAATTTTACTGTGACATTGCTTGATTTAAATTTAACGTGATATTAAATCTTAATTTAGAAATAGGAGCCTTCTTAGGGCTTCTAATAGTACAAGAGCTAGAATTGTCATTAAATTTTTTGATACAATGGAATATTTGTTTGTGTAATTTATTATTAGATTTGCAAAATAATATATATTCTTTTAGATCTGTGAGCAGCATTAATGTGGTGCATACATTTTTTAATATTCACAAGAAAGTAGTAAAAGAATGAATTTGAAATGATTTTATAAAGCATAATGTTACCTGTTGCCATTCTAGATGTGTCTGTTTTGTTATAAGAGAAATACCTATTAAATATAATGCTGTTTAAAAAGGGGCTTGCTGTCATACTGTTATGTCTTGCTATAAATAAAGTAATTGTTTTAATATATTGTCATAATCTTCAATACTATTATATCAAACTAACATAGATAATCTGTACTGTAGTCTGCATTGATCAACCAATTTATCAAAAAGCTAAAATACCATCAATAAAGTTGTGTTATAGTAGTATTATAATATCTGTGTTTGTAGGTATCTAGTTAATTAAATATATAATAAAATTTACATTATCAACAGCAATGAGGGTATATTTTAGTAATTTAAACGTCTCAGGAGAAGTTCATATGACCGCGAAATCACCGCGCGGTACAAGTTATACAAGCGTACGGACCTCTTCAGTTGATCCGCGCGGTTTGACTGACAGACGAAATGATCAAATTCTGTGTCAATGTCATAGCCAACGGGTTAAAACAGCTGTTCAATTGGGCTGGTAGCCATTTAATTGGATGGCGCCATTCAATTGCATGCCTAGTTTTCTAGTTGTATCATTATGACACTTGGACCGTTCAACAAGATGTCTGATTGTTAGAAATAAAAATAGCGCCTTGAATTCGTCGTCTTAAATTTCTAAACAATCACGTGACCTACAGGACCAAAATAACTTCGTTCTTTATCATTATATGCTGTTATTAACTATCGTAGTATTAAACTTCGAAATCGTTATAAACATACTAAAACAATCGCAGTCAAATCAATCAATATTGATTTGACTTGATTGGACTATATTTTATTTTTATTTTTATTGACTGATTGTCGCGCGTCTAATGTCATAAAAATGTTCCCTATACACGACGCCGCTCGACTCCGCGTGGTTATATCAACTTGGCCTTAAGTTTAGTATGATTTGCTCTGTCCCGCGTCTCCAGAAGAAGTGTAAAATTGAATATAAAATAATTTATTTGTGTTTGAACAGGATTATAATGTATACCAGGGGTGGCAACTTGTTTAGACTCAAGATCGACCTTTCACTGACGACACCCAGAACGATCTACCAATTATTTTACTTCTTAAAATCTCAAATGAAACAGCATAGTTCGTACACAATTATGTAGCATTTTGATTTTATTTATATTTTTTGAATTGCCGCGATCGACTGTACTAATAGTCGCAAGCGACAGGTTGACCACCCATGATGTATAGGATGATAAAAGTTGGAAAAATCTAGTAACAACTATTCAGCAATGTAGTATGCAATTTCCACTCAAGTAAACCTTATAGCATACTTTTCACATTGATTTGATAGGGAGATGATAGACTCTACCTTTCAATATGTGACGCCAGGTTCCGATTTGCATTTATATTCAAACAGATTTGTTTTCATTATGCATACCTACTTATAAGTTTAATGGGTACTTTTATTTGACTTTTTATATATATTCGTAAACTTTCATTTTCAGCTGGGAAGAGAACTCTAAATACGTACGTACTCTACGACGGAGGTTATTAAGGTTGAAATTACTCCTATTGGAGGTCGAGAGATTGAATAATAATTACTTATGCTGGTGCATGCGAGTCTAACATTAGAAACTTACGTGTAAAGTTTCATTACTCATGAAGTAGTCTTCACAATTGCAGTTTTCTAAAAATTGATTAGTCAAGTATAAAACCCAGTTATAAAGTTTTCTGTAGATAGTAAATATTTTTTATAAAAACGTGCGTGCGTGAAAAAGGATTATTGTAAAAAAGTTGACAATGATATTTTTTGTTATCATACCTTGTATATTATGTTTCTTATATGCTTGGAGGCGCAGGCGCAGGATACTTCAAGGCAATTTACCTCCAATATGCGGATTGTCTTGGCCGATTATTGGTTTAAGTCATTTGTGGATGACAGGATGTAAGTATGTAATTAATAACATCCGTAAAAAATACTTTGTAGATTTTGAAAAATCATAGAAAGTCATATCTAATAGGCGGTTTCCGTTTTTATTACAGTATTATTGGGGAAACTCATAGATATCCAAATGGATTGCTTAAAACAAGGTTCCATGACATTACTTTATGCGGGTATCAATTCTAATTATACTTATTATGGTAAGGTTTTCAAGTTTTATTTACGATCTGTGACGGTCTCAAAGCTCGATTTTCAAATGTTTTAAACATATGATATAACGCTTTTACATTATTGGTAGCTGAGAAAGTGCAATAAACAATGTATTATTAAAATGTTACACTCATAAAAATAGTAATTACATTATTAGCTACTAAAAGCTCAATCCAGGAGCTCAAAAAATGTGTCTGCGCATTTTATGAAAATCTTTCTCTGGTATTTTGGGTTTAATTAAAAAGATGAGCAAAATTTCCAAAAAGTTGGGCCACTTATTTCTATACCAAGAGTTATTCTTCACTATTCAACAAGTCAAAATTGTTAATTTATTTTTGTTTCCGAGAAAAATCACGCAGAAATCATAGTTGAGATGTAATATGAGTCTTAATGATCTTGAATAACTAGTAAAAGTTTGTGGTAAAAACTATAATATTTAATAATTTTAGACTAAATTGGCCTTACTCTAAATTGGCACTCCTTTTTAATCTACGAGATCACTGTATTGCTAAAACCAGAGTATAACAATGAGTAAGTTCTCTTAATCATACGCACCGAAAATGGTTAGTATGTGATCACCAGAGGTCGGAATTAGGTAGAGTTATTTATGTACTTGCATCGAAATGTTGATATTAATGTGGACCTTCCCTACAAATGTGGCAACATCGCGCGTATTGGTATTTTGCAACTTTGGACATCCGATGTCATTGATGTAAGTTTGGCAACGTCGTGCGTGCAGTAGTTTAAATTGTGTACAAGTAAATAACTTTTTATTTAAAAAATCACGGGCTTTTTCTGCTCTTTAAATTTAATCTCGGGATTTGAGGCATATCCACTTTATTCTTTCGCTGTATGAAATCAGTGTAATCATGTGACACATTTACAAAATTTATCAATGTTATAGGTGCTCAAAGTACGAGTGGCAACTCACGAATCATGGCCATGTAGTTTGTGGTCATGGCTAGTACGCCGTACCCGAGCATACTCCATGCCGCTGTGTTGCCGCTCGTTACGTTTAACTTCCATATTCAAAGATAAGCGACAGCCCTACGTGTTTAGGCTATTATCTTTCGTTCGTGGCTCGAATGCACCATACTTATCTGGATATACTATGCTAAAACTATGTTAAGGTGTATTTACACTGGTCGATGGGGTCAGCACGTAGCAGGCGACCTCTATGCGCTCATCTCATTGGCCAATAAAACAACGACCAATGAAAGCGAGGTACAGAAGTCGCCCGCACGGATGTCATCGATTAGTGTAAATATGCATATTCATTGTAATGCCCTATACTTTATTTTTTACTTAGTTTATTTTTTACTTAGCTATCTGCGATCCCGACGACGTCCAAAAAGTAATGGATTCTTGTCTGGAAAAAGCTTTTCTTCTCACTGAATCTGTAGAGACCGTTTTTGGAAAAGGACTTGCAACAGCATCAGGTATAATTTCGAAAGTTTTTTATAAAGCAGCGTTGCTAGCTTGGTGTTACTCACGGGCAAACCAATGGGGTTGGCACTATCCACCATCCATATATTTCGAATACCGACTTACTGTTACTCTGATATGCCTCCTTTTCCCGGAACCTAGGTATAGCGATACTTGTGACCGAACCGAGTCTCTAACACAAATACCACTTCTGATGCCTATCATATGACCGATTGTATTATCATCATTAGATTATTACACTAGTGCCAAAGTCAGCATGTGCTGACTTTGGCACTAGTGCATCAGCTCTTCAGGGGAGCGACCATAAAAGAATATAAACATATTTATTGATAAAAAAATATGGCTATGGCTACAGTTGTAGCAAGAGAGTTACTACATGTTTGCAATAGACTGCTCGGGGCATAAAACTCATTAGAGAAGTTTTGCCTATCGCCTGCGTTAGCTTGATGTGTAATAACATTATTTACTTATTACGTTTATTGCCGTATCAGTCTCACGCCATGTCTCGTGAAGCGGCCTATTGCGTTCTGGCGAGTAACGCGACGTCGCGTTTTAGTTTTGCACGCGCTCGCTAGCTGTTGGTCATTCATGTAAGTTTAAGATTTTGGTTTGGTAATAAACATGTTCATTGCCAAGCCAAAATCTTGGGACTTGGAAACGTGCAGTTGACTTTGCCGTCAAAACCGTCTGATGTACCCTCTCACATGCTCTCCGACAACTGATTAGGAATCTCTTCACGATCCGGACCGATCTAGTGTGGTCTTTGGTTTTAGCGTTTATTTTCT